ATCAGTAACCAAATTAGGAGCCCTTAATTTGTCCGGTGCTATTCTGAATCTGATTCAGGTGGGCTGTAATTTAAAACTATCACTCTATCACAGCAGTTGTGTCCTTTGTGAAATAAGCTCTTACAAAAATAATTGGTGTATAATTTAAAACAGTATCTCCTATGCAAATGGGGTAGAATTTGGCTCTAACTTTACAATAGCACAGAAGAGAGTTATTTACCGGCCAGCTTTGTTTTTGAAATTATTCACTTGTCCACAAGAGGGTACACATACCTTGTGTACTCAAAATTAGATCACTTGCAACTATACATCTCCCTCTAAAACTAAATTGCTGTTCCCCTTCCATTGGCCCATATAGCTTTCAGATTGATCCTCTGTTATTTAGCTGGGAAGTGGCTGTTTGAAAGGCTGTTGGAAATTTCTGCAGTCATCTACCCTCTCCATCCCTCCTTCCTAGACTCCTGTTTGGTTTTAAAGACAAGATAAAGCCCTCATTTGTGAAGCAGGTTAATTTGAAATGGTTAATTTGAAAGTAACAGAATGCCACTAGCCGTCACCTACAGCCCCCAACTAAAACCTCTCCAGTGCATTATCAAGGATCTACAATCTATCCTGAAGGACGATCCCTCACTCTCACAGACCCTGGGCACCAGGCCAGTCCTTGCTTACAGACAGCACCCCAACCTGAAGCAAATACTCACCAGCAACAACACACCACACAACAAAATCATCAACCCAGGAACCAAACCCTGCAACAAACCCTGGTGCCAACTCTGTCCACATATCTATTCAAGGGACACCATCATAGGACCTAACCACATCAGCCACATCATCAGGGGCTCGTTCATCTGCACATCTACCAATGTGATATATGCCATCATGTGCCAGCAATGTCCCTCTGCCATGTACATTGGCCAAACTGGACAGTCTCTACGCAAAAGAATAAATGGATACAAATCTGACATCAGGAATCATAACATTCAAAAACCAGTAGGAGAATACTTCAATCTCCTTGGCCACTCAATAACAGACCTAAAAGTGACAATTCTTTGACAAAAAAACTTCAAAAACAGACTCCAACGTGAAACTGCAGAACTGGAATTAATTTGCAAACTGGACACCATCAGATTAGGCCTGAATAACGACTGGGAGTGGATGGATCATTAGAAAATCTAAACCTAATTTCCCCAATACTAATTTTCCTTTACTGTTACTCACACCTTCTTGTCAACTGTCTGAAATAGGCCACTCTCATTACTACTTCAGAAGTTATTTTTCCTCCTTTGATATCCTGCTGTTAATTGATTTGTCTCGTTAGACTGACCTCACACTTGGTAAGGCAACTCACATCTTTTCATGTATTTATACCTGCTTCTGTATTTTCCACTCCATGCATTTGATGAAGTGGGTTCTAGCCCACATAAGCTTATGCCCAAATAAATTTGTTAGTCTCTAAGGTGCCACAAGGACTCCTCATTGTTTTTGCTGCTACATTATGCATCACCTAGGCAATGACTCTAGCCATTAAAAATAAGAGCACAGCTGGTTCACATTTCTTATTAGCTTTTGCAGTTAAAGTGAAGGGAAAGGACTGAACAATCATCCAGAAGAAATGCTCAAGATTGACCATGTTTTTGTTTTTGCCTCCTATACATCAAAATCCTTTGAAAAATATCCAGACCTGGAGATTTTTGAGGAAAACAAAGTACAGTAATCTGAAAAGAGAATGCTAGCTGATTGTCTGCCCTAGATAAAGCTTAGGCAGCCTAGTTGTCAACAGGAAAGATGTATGAGAAATCAATATGACTTGTTTCAGTAGAAAAGACAACAAGGGAAATCGGGCAAATACATCCTTGATGTAACCCATGAGTCTAATTGTGATTGCACCAATGACTATTTGGCCGATAAACCTACAACTGTGTGAGAATGGAATATTAAATCAGACCAAATAAAATAGAGAAAATACTATAAATTGTTACTATATGTGACTTCAAACTTCCTAAGCATAACTGTGGAGCCTGCAATGCTAAGCAACACACACAAGAGGTAATACGGTAAATAATATGGAGTTGTACAATATGTTATCTAGTAACAATAGCATCCTTTCAATTATAAGATAATCTCTAGAAATTTTTGACAGGTTTCAGAGTAGCAGCCGTGTTAGTCTGTATCTGCAGAAAGAACAGGAGTACTTTTGGCACCTTAGAGACTAACAAATTTATTAGAGCATAAGCTTTCGTGGGCTATAGCCCACTTCATTGGATGCATAGAATGGAACATATAGTAAGAAGATATATATATCTTACAGAGAAGGTGGAAGTTGCCATACAAACTGTAAGAGGCTAATTAATTAAGATGAGCTATTATCAGCAGGAGAAAAAAACTTAGGGTTAGGGTTGAAATCATGGTGGAATTCAATAATTTCCATCCCACCATCAACCTCAGCCTAGACCAATCCTCACAAGCGGTCCATTTCCTGGACACTACTGTGCTAATAAGTGATGGTCACATAACCACCACCCTATACTGGAAACCTACTGACCACTATACTTACCTACATGCCTCCAGCTTCCATCCAGGACACGCCACACAATCCATTGTCTACAGCCAAGCTTTAAGATACAACTGCATCTGCTCCAATCCCTCAGACAGAGGGTATGTCTACACTACGGAATAAGGTCGAATTTATAGAAGTCGGTTTTTTAGAAATCGGTTTTATAAATTCGAGTGTGTGTGTCCCCACAGAAAATGCTCTAAGTGCATTAAATGCATTAACTCGGCGGAGCGCTTCCACAGTACCGAGGCAAGCGTCGACTTCCGGAGCGGTGCACTGTGGGTAGCTATCCCACAGTTCCCGCAGTCTCCGCTGCCCATTGGAATTCTGGGTTGAGATCCCAATGCCTGATGGGGCTAAAACATTGTCGCGGGTGGTTCTGGGTACATATCGTCAGCCCCCCGTTCCCTCCCTCCCCCCGTGAAAGCAAGGGCAGACAATCATTTCGCGCCTTTTTTCCTGAGTTACCTGTGCAGACGCCATACCATGGCAAGCATGGAGCCTGCTCAGGTAACCGTCACCCTATGTCTCCTGGGTGCTGGCAGACGCGGTACGGCTTTGCTGCACAGTAGCAGCAACCCCTTGCCTTCTGGCAGCAGACGGTGCAATACGATTGGTAGTCGTCCTCATCGTGTCCGAGGTGCTCCTGGCCGCGTCGGCTGGGAGCGCCTGGGCAGACATGGGCGCAGGGACTAAATTTGGAGTGACTTGACCAGGTCATTCTCTTTAGTCCTGCAGTCAGTCCTATTGAACCGTCTTATGGTGAGCGGGCAGGCGATACGGACTGCTAGCAGTCGTACTGTACCATCTTCTGCCAGGCAGGCAAGAGATGAGGATTGCTAGCAGTCGTATTGCACCATCTTCTGCCAGGCAGGCAAGAGATGGGGATGGCTAGCAGTCGTACTGTACCATCTTCTGCCGAGCAGCCATGAGATGTGGATGGCATGCAGTCCTTCTGCACCGTCTGCTGCCAGCCAAAGATGTAAAAGATAGATGGAGTGGGTCAAAACAAGAAATAGACCAGATTTGTTTTGTACTCATTTGCCTCCTCCCCTGTCTAGGGGACTCATTCCTCTAGGTCACACTGCAGTCACTCACAGAGAAGGTGCAGCGAGGTAAATCTAGCCATGTATCAATCAGAGGCCAGGCTAACCTCCTTGTTCCAATAACAACGATAACTTAGGTGCACCATTTCTTATTGGAACCCTCCGTGCAGTCCTGCCTGAAATACTCCTTGATGTACAGGCACCCCCTTTGTTGATTTTAGCTCCCTGAAGCCAACCCTGTAAGCCGTGTCGTCAGTCGCCCCTCCCTCCGTCAGAGCAACGGCAGACAATCGTTCCGCGCCTTTTTTCTGTGCGGACGCCATACCACGGCAAGCATGGAGCCCGCTCAGCTCACTTTGGCAATTAGGAGCACATTAACCACCACACGCATTATTCAGCAGTATATGCAGCACCAGAACATGGCAACGCGATACCGGGCGAGGAGGCGACGTCAGCGCGGTCCTGTGAGTGATCAGGACATGGACACAGATTTCTCTGAAAGCATGGGCCCTGACAATGCATGCATCATGGTGCTAATGGGGCAGGTTCATGCTGTGGAACGCCGATTCTGGGCTCGGGAAACAAGCACAGACTGGTGGGACCGCATAGCTGTAATGGCGCGTTGTGCCCATCACTATGAATGATGGAACAGAACTATGCAGGAGGTATTGTGATGTTTATGTACTGTGCCATGACTTAAAATATAGGTGCAATCCCTGGGAGGAGGAGGAAAGGGGAGGACATAGGTCCACCCGTTTTTTTCCTTTGTTACTATCCTGTTGTTGCTTTCTCCTTCAAAGAGTTCACATACTAAACAAGTAATGAGGAATATAGGAATTGCCAGCCTGGATCAGATCAGTGGTCCATCCAGTCTCGTATCCTATACAATGGCCAGTATCAGCTGCTTCAGTGGAAGGTACAAGAAATTCTGAAATAGACAGTATGGTTTAACCTCTGCCCAGGGAATGTTTCTTTTATATAAATGTCCAGTCCTTTCTGAATCCTGCTCAACTCTTGGCCTCAATAATATTTTGTGGTCATAAGATCCACTGGCTAACTATGCACTGTGTTAAAGGAAGTCTTTTGCAATTGAAAGGGCAATAAATAATATATACATGTGGCTGCAAGATTAGTGTATTCTCCCCCCAGCTCTCCCTGACCCACAATATCTGGTGGTTGTGTCACTACCTCCAATCTCTCTTCACCCAAAATATGGTTGCACACACAGTTTGCTACATTGGTATTTATGCAGTAGAGCTTTCCCTATTAGATTCTATAAATCAAAATCCAATGTGAATGTTCAGATCCTTACTTTCAGCATTCCAAGAACCCTTTAAATCAAAGGAAAAGGAAGGGACTGCAATGTCAAGTGTATAGTGCATATAAAACATACACAAACATCTTAAACAAAAATTTATTGGCACAAACCTACATGTTACAAATGTATACAGTACTCTTGGAAAATATATTTACCACTTCAAAAATCACTATACACAAAAAGTAGTCATATCAAACTTTGTAAACGATATCACTAATTTAGCATCCAAAACAAAATAAACAAAAGTGTCTGCATGCATAATTTCTCAGTCAGAAATGGAGTTTCACTGACCTACAGTTAAAGCAATCGGAGAAAAATTACTGGTCTCTACAACAGTTTTTCAAAATAGCTATGATAAGACATGATGAATGTTTCTTAGCGGCACAAACAATTGTTTGCTCAGTACAGTAGAGTATACAAAGTAAGTGATGCCACTCAGAGCACAGAGATCCTTTCTGACCTGCAGTACAAAAGAATTAACATTACTGTGGGGGCCTTTAAGAAATAAAGTTAAAGGTTAGGTCTGGAGTTTAGGCACCAGTTTCTCGTAGACATGGCAACTGAATGCTTATTTCTGTTATTCTACTAGTTAGGGAAAACAGCACTCTATGGATTAAGTGGGGAGAGATAGAAAGGTGTTTTTAATCTCCTATTACTTTTCAGCTGTGTTTAAGGAGTGCTGGCCTGTGAATTGGTGACTTAAACAAACCACTAAACTATACAAGAAGAGTCTTCTTCGCTCTATCCCACTCCTGATACAGTATCGCTGGCATCAACAGGAGTCTTGTCACCAGCCTCAACAGTTCAAGATCAGGCTTGTAATGCATATGAAACCTCTATTGACTTTAATGGGTGTTGTAGTCCTGTTCCTTCACCACTAAAGTAAATGGGAGCTTCTCCAATTACTTTAGAAGGCAAAGGATCACACTCTACATGTGCAGAGAGATCTTGGTTCAAAGACAGACCTGGCCTAAGCAGGTATAACTTAGTACACAAAGCAATTGTTGACGTCAGTACAAATTCTTTGAAGTAGGTGGGGATACAGCTGCTTGCACCAGCCCCAAATTTGACTCTAATCTGATCATAATATTGGGACAGAAAAGACAATGGGCCACTGGATGTGCTTGCGGAGCTTTTACTGCCATCCAAAGGGCTTTTTTGAGCACATCCAAGGGTAGAATTGGCCAAGTGAATATACACTTTTCCAGGGAATATTTTCAGCCACAGACAGCCCTGATCTTTATGGTAAGTCAGTGTCCCACAGGCAGCACTGGGGGGTGGCTTACTGTATGAATCTGTGTCTAGTGGAAATTGCTTCTTTATTTATCAAACCCAACATTCAATACAACAAAACCTTTTAGAAAAACTGGAACATTTATAGAGAAGCTGGATGGTAAGAGACACATTAACTTTTTCATTACCTGTCTAAAATACAAAGCCTATTTCTTTCTCTTCTGATCATCCAGAAAGAGAGACTTGAGCTTAATTTATCATGTAATATTTCTATTCTGAAATTTCCCTTAGTATCTCTAGGGGAGGATGTGGGGAAGGAGATGATAAATATTTCCTGTGCAAAGATGACTGGACTTTGGTGCTAATAGCGTTCAACTTGAAATGCAGGATATATATTGCAGGGACACCAGTGTCTACACTGAGCCTTTATGATTCAGCAGGGCAAAACTACTCTAAACTATTCAGATGTGGTGACAAGCTTAAAAAATACAAAAAAGGAAAATAATTGCAACAATAGGCCAGGTACTGGAGACCACTGACACCATTTAAGGCTGCTCTAAATTGTAATGGCTTGAAATAGAGGCTGTTATAGCAAATGAGACTAGCCAAAGTATAGCATGCTCCGACCATATCCATTACACTGCTGGCATATTCCTGGCATTCCCCTTGCACTAGACCTGTTGCAGGTATTCCCTGGGTAATAGGTTCACGCTTTTTATGCGTCCCTTTGTATGCTGGAGTGGTGCAAAGGGGCCACAGTGCACTACAGAAGTTGGCCCTATGTTGGCATTGAACAGAAACATTTTCCAAACAGCACTGCTGCCTTCTTTTCTTTTGCACTTTTAGAATGGTAGTCTAACAGAAAAAGCTGCACATTTTCAATACATAACACACACAGTATTGGTGTGAGATGATATATTTCACAGATGAAAAATACTATGGGCCAAATCAAACATTACATTGGTAAGTGGTCATGTAAATTACTCACCAGTAAGTCAGTGGGAACAAGGAAAAATAACTATAACAGGAAAAGCATATCACAGAGGCTGTAGAATAAATCAGTTTTAAGTGGTTAAGAAAGTTACATTAGCAATCTGTTCAGTTGCAATGTAATAGGCAATATTCTTTCTGTCCTGCCAAGATTACAGGGACTATGGGATTCTATCTCACATGAGGTTGATGGATTAGGTGGGGAACAACATTTATTAATATGGAAACAAATTCTTTGTGATTATTAGCATTCAGCTAATATAGGGTTGGGTGCTATTGAAGTAGGTGTACAATAGCACAATGCAATTCATAATGAATTATTTTGTTTAAACTCCATTGTACACATACGTCCTTCTCACCTTGATCCAGGCAAGCACTTAAACATGTGCTTAATTTTCAGCACATACTTAAGTGCTTTCCTGAACAGGGGTACTTTTCTCAATCAGATCTTCTGTGTGGCTCATTCTGGACCTGTCTATGAACTAATGAGTCCTCTAGTCACCCTGAACTCAATGGGTGCAGAAAGATGGTCAGGTGATGTTCCCCACCTTGCAGGATTGGGTCTTCTATATACATTTGATCATAAATGAAAAGCATCAAATAATACTATTTAGCTGGCCATAAAGTTTGCTTTCTTGATGAACACTGCATTAAACCTGGGTAGTTTTGTATACACTATACCAAATACAACAGACACTAATTCTAAAGGGGAAAAAAAAAGGGAGTTTATTATAAATTCATTGTTATCAACCTAAGCAAGGGTTGGGGACAGCTTGCAGCACAGCCCCTCTACATCTGCTCTTTCTTATCTGGAAAGTGATTTTTATGACCACAAAGGCTAAAGACTTAGTGTATTGTTAAACAAAAGCTTAGATTCTACGGAATTGATTGCTTTCTCTTGGGAAATCTTTTTGCCACAGATAAGAGGATTGTTCAAGTCACAGGTTAAATGACAGGTGTTAGGCTCTATCCTTTCAGTAAGGCAAAATTCTTAAGATAATTTTCTAGACAAAATATTCCTGTGTGGGTGTGGTTCATTTTGAAAATCAATTGGTGGCATCACAGGAATTGTCATCCCAAAATATGAGTCAGATTTTTATTATGCAAATTTGTGCTGATTTCTCAGGCACTTCCATATTTTCTTTGTTATTTTTAATCCTCTTATTTATTGGGGAAGTGTGGGGGGAGGAAGAGAACTCATACAAGAACATGTCAGGCTTATCATATCTGTCTTACTACAGCAATATGTTTTTCATAAACACATAGGGTTTTGAAACTAAATATTTGGATTTTTTTTTATGCCTACCAAGCTCTTTCATAACAGACCTTTGGTTTAAAAAAAACAACAGCTAAATGTAAACTCACTATGCTTATGTCTCTACCTTGAACCCTGAATTTCCCTAGAACACCATACAAGTCTGTACTTAATTATTTGAAATATCATAGTGTCTCCCTGTACACTTGGCAGGACCATCTTAATAACAGCCTACAGCTAAACCCTCAGACCAAGCCAACAATACAGTGACAAATGAAAAAAACTGCTGTATCCTTTCAGATCAATACTATAATTAATAGCCAAAACACCGGAAGCAATGACATGCTGTGAATCTGTAAATTCCTGGGTCCGTTAAATCCAAGATATCCTATTGATCATAGACAGAAGATTACATCAGGTGTTGTTACTGGTTTCTCTTTTAGAAAAACATGCAATTTATTGGCTGACAAAACTAACTTCAGAAGATGGATTAAAATATTACAGGCTCTTAACTCTTTCAAGTTCTTTTCACCACACATGATAGAAAACAAGGGATCATATATACATGTTGGGGGTATTAATTAATTCTAGGCACTTTTTTCCCACTCTCCTCCATCAGCATCCCCTCCCCCAACTTTGGTCTATGGATTGATTGAGGTAAATTGGCATAAACTAGCAATGGAAAAAAGTGTAGAAGGTGGAGCAGAAACCATTGTTTAACCTAGTGGTTAAAAAAATAATTCTTCTATAACTAAAACAGATTCCTGTTCCTGGCAGACTAAGGTTTTGTAAATTTTTTGAGGCAGAGACTTTTCATATGTGTTTGTATAGCACCGAACACAATGGAGCCCTGATCTTCATTGGGGACTTAGGGCACTGCTGGAATTCAAACAGCACATGCATGGCTTCGCTTTCTAGACACAAAATGGGTAGCTTTAAAAAAAAAAGACAATTATCACACTGCAATATTTCACTTTACTGCAATATGTCATATTCCCTATGCTTTAAATGGCAAATGCTGAGGAGGTAAATTCATCTCCTATTTGCACTAATGGCTGTTTTAAATGGTGCCCACTATATTATACATCAAACCATTTTATGTGACTCAGACTTAAATCATGTAGCAAGAACCCTGTATTTATGTAGGTGAGGTGCACTGATGTATAGTCAGCTACAAAATCATTCAATAACCTTCAGTATTTTTTAATTCCACTTGCTTTATTTTACTCATGTCAATGACGTTCACAGCTCGTCCTAATTTAGTACCTTGCCCTTATTGTGCTATCATTACTGTGCCATCATTGTGCGGTTTACTCCCTCTTCTGTCAATGTTGATGATTGGTCTGCTATTTGAGGCACTAAAAGGTCAATTAAAATGACCATGTAACAATTCAAGATGTGTTGAATGGTTTAAAAAAAGTGGCTGGATAACCATCAGTCCACAGGGAGCATCATGCCTGTTCCATTTTTCCCTGTCAAATAAAGGTGCAGGACCATATTCTGCCCTTTATCCCACTCCTAGGACCAATAAGAAACCAGTTTGAAGACTTGAAGGCATTATGGGTGGAGTTTTCTAAAGGGTTCTGCGTGGGCCCAACCCTGCATTCACTGAAGTGAATGGTGAAAAAACCATTCAGGGAACTCCTGTGCAATGGGAGTGAAGCTAGGCCAACACACTCTTGCAAATCTGCCCCTACACAATATGCTCCAAAAGCAGAAATTTGAACGACCTTTGTTGCCTTTTGAAGAAGATGGGGAACGAAGAGTATTTGGGTTAGGGTGGCCAGATAGCAAGTGTGAAAAATTGGGACAAGGTGGGGGGTAATAGGGTTCTATGTGGGGATAATAGGGTCCTAGATAAGACAAAGCTCCTAAAATCAGGACATGTGGTTATCCTAATGGGGAGCGTGGGTAGCAGGGAAGCAGGAAAATGGGGTAAAAGCTAAAGGGTGAGCAGACTTTTTCATAATTATTTTTAATATCCTCTGAAGTGTTTTTCCTTTGAAGGCCTCATTACTCGGTTACACTTATTGAACCTACAAAGGCTTCATTATTTTACTTGAGAATCATGAATTAGCCATGAGAATGTTTTCATTTTTTAAAAGAGTGCAGCATTTGGCTTTGTTGCTTTTGCGAGCAAGTGCATGTGATAAAGTCATGACAGAATGAGGTTACTGCAGAAGTGACTCATTGTTGAATAACCAAGTGTCTACTCCAGCAAAACTGCATGTAACTAGACTGCAACCTTTTTTTTAGGTTTTCCATTTTATTGTAAGATGTAGCTTTTCAACGTTAACACAACAGAAAAAGAAATAAGCTCCTTGGGAGGCTTAGATCTGTGTGTGTTTAAGGTAGGGAGTCCACAGGTCCACAGCTGAGAAAGAAAGCCACTAAGTGCACCAGCGAAGAACTGCTTTCATGAATTATAGACAGGAAATTAGTTGTAGAAAGAACCTTTCTTGAAATGGAACGGGAAGTGTTTCTGGGAAAGGCAATTTGGAGGAAAGAATGATTTCTGAGTGTTGTTGGTTTGTTCCTTTACAAATTCTAGTGCAGTGCCTATGTAGGGAACAGTCTTTGAAGAATACTGACAATTATTTTTCTGTACAGAGCTAGTTAAACTATTGGCTTTTAAATTGAATACAGTTAGTGTTGCACTGTGCCCAGTTCTGTGTGGTGACAAAGGGAGGGAAAGTACAAAGAGCTTCCACTTCCTCTGTATGGCCTGATCCAATGGCTAGTAAACTCAGTGGGAATTTTTCCACTGACTTCAATGGGCGTTGGATTAAAGCCCTATACCTCTGTACAGGTGATAGGAGAAATGGCTGTGCACAAGGACATGTGGAATCACAGGCTTAATATTGGATAGAGCCAGTGTGCCTAGCAACTGGTAAGATAGAGCTCCTAATGCAGAGGGTGGACCTAGATTCTCAAAGAGGGGAGTAAGGAAGAGGGTGGGGCTTTACGCACACACCTCTCTCATTGATTAGAAGCACTAGGTTAGCACGTGGGTGGAACAGAGGCCAATTCACCCTGTAAAAGGGTGAAGAAGGGGCCACTGAAGCCAATATTTCCAAAGAGTTTCTGGAGGCTTTCTGCCTGCCATAGCAGACATACTTCTGGGAAAGATCACCATTTCATAGCCCCTACTTACCTGTCACCCAAATAAGGACAGCGGCTTAACACCACAATCTTGCCCTAAAATGATGGCACTGAAAAAAGAAATTGCAATTTGAGCTCAATACAAATTCTATCATGCAAGTGATGGACATCTTGAGGACAGAGCTGGACTGCTGATAGGTTTGTGGGAATTTCCCTGGCTGTCAAGCTAGACATGTACTGGACTTTAATTTTTATATTTCTTTCCTACTGTAATTATTACAGTGTTGTTCACTCATTGTAGGTATTTTAATCACTCATTCCAGACCTCGGTTTAAAAAAAGAAAAAAAGTGCCAAGAGCTCTGCATGCTTAGAAAAGACCTCATCAGCCTTGAACTGCTATAGGATTAACGTTATACAAGATCCCAAGGAATTAAAAATGCTGGTTTTAAAAATGATTAAACAGTGTCTTTAAATAGGTCTTAGTCCTATGGGGCCAGGGCTATAGTTAGGATCTTTACAAGATTTTTTTAATTATGCCACTTACAATGTGTTGAAAGTACCCTTGCCTAATATTATTAAGTGAAGACACTGATGTTACAGCAACATATTTAGATAGACAAGTGAGGAAGTGCAAAGATTTGGGTTCCCAGTGCAATGTTAAATCACTCACATTTTACATACTATATATTATATTTTAGTGCCAAAATAATGCAAGGTGAGCTGTGTTAGAAGGGGAGAAAGTGAAATGTCCAAGCAGGGATCCTTGGAAATATTATGTCTGTGCAGAACAGGAGCAAATACTACCGCTGGGGTAGTAACTGGAACAGCCTCAATGGCACCCCCTGTAACAGCTATGGAATAGGGACAGAGCTGCTGTAACAGGTGCACGGTAGTAAGGGAAGGGTCCCTGGATACACCCCTCTCCAGCCACCCTCCCTTTGGTGTGGTGTACCCTGCTAACAGTGCCAGTTGCTCTTCCGTGTTGAGTATGTGTAATCCAATGGTCAGGGTCAGCATGTGTTACAAGTCCCCCTCTGCCTGACCCCCAGAAGGTGAGGGTTTGGTACAATGGTCGGTTACAGAGCCTGACTCTTTAGCTCAAACTGTACAGACTCATACTTTCAGAACTCAGAGTAGCAGCCGTGTTGGTCTGTATCCGTAAAAAGAAAAGGAGGACTTGTGGCACCTTAGAGATTAACAAATTTATTTGAGCATAAGCTTTCGTGAGCTACAGCTCACTTCATCGGATGCATTCAGAACTGGAGGTCACCAGTTCAATCCCCAAGGCGGTGGCCTTCACAAACAGCCAAATTATGGCTGCCTCCTATGTGGAATTGCTGGGGTGTGGTTGGGGGAGAAGCTCCCCGTGAATCCTTTTACCAGCCCCACCCATGCACATATGTGCTAGAGCAGGGGTTCTCAAACTGGAGGTTGCGAGGTTATTACACGGGGGGGGGGGGTCGAGAGCTGTAAGCCTCCATCCCAAACCCCGCTTTGCCTCCAGCATTTATAATGGTTTTAAATATATTTAAAAAGTGTTTTTAATTTATAAAGGGGGGGGTCACACTCAGAGGCTTGCTATGTGAAAGGGGTCACCAGTACAAAACTTTGAGAACCACCGTGCTAGAGCAATCATAACTGGGCCCTTTACACTCTAACCAGCAATAATTCATCCTTGCTCATACATAACACTTATTGGACGTTCACATAGGCAGCTGTAGTTCTGGGTTGACTTATATTTTAAATTTAAATTTCCTTTTTTTTAAAGACATGGTGAGTAGAAAAAATAAATAAATCATGGCTCCAACACTAATGAGATGTGCAACTGCGATTTGGTGGGTGCGGTGGGTTTTCTGTTTTACAGCTCCATAGATTGTAACCTGCACCATTCTACAGCTACAGGGTTCCACAATGCAGAAGAATATAGCATTGCACAATTCTATGTTACCACTGACTGAGCAACTTCATCCCCCCATTTGGAAGCCATTCAGCAGTTCCTTTCTGTAAGCTGTGAAGATGAGCTGGGCAGGGAAGGAGGTGCTTGCTCACTCATCCAGTCATGGAATAGAAACATTACTGTGTGACTTATCTTACCAATCACAAGTAGCCAGTACAGCACAAATAGCAAGGGTCAAATAGTCACAAGTGACTTATTCATGATGAATCCATAGAGTTAAAAACATTCATTTAATATATTTAATTACCAAAGGTGAGGACATTTTTAACTGTTTGCAGGCATTTTGCAAGACACAAGAAGAGACATTTTGTGGATAAACTGTTCACTGTGAATTATTTGCTGAGGGCTTCTCCATGTGAGGAAACTGATCGGCATAGTTATTCCAGAGTATCTGCCCAGGGGTTCACTCTAATCCAAAATAAAAAATGACTTTATTCCAGAATAATTACTCCACTTTCAAAGCTAAGTAATTATTTTGGAATAAATCACTTTTCTTCTGGAACAGATGGTCTACCTGGGGGGCGTTATTCCAGAATAGCTCATTTATATGTGAATAGCTATAGATGTCATTCCAAAATAGCTAAACTGGTTAATTTCTCCCCTTGTAGATAAGCTCTGAGCTCTAGCAAGCAATGTATCTCCTCAGAGATGTAGCCTAAGTAATGGATACTGTAATGTATCTCCTAAGTAGTATACATTACAGTACACTACTTAGGAGACACAGGTCCCTCCACACAAGGCCCAAAGGGAGAGCAAGTGCACATTCTGCAATCCTGGAAATACAAGTCAGTCAGGATTTTCTAGTGGGATCTTACAATGTGCCTGAGCTACCCAGCTCCCCTTCTCCACCCTCCCCTAAAATTCCTACTTTGGTTCTGTCATAGAATCATAGAATATCAGGGTTGGAAGGGACCTCAGGAGGTCATCTAGTCCAACCCCCTGCTCAAAGCAGGACCAATCCCCAATTAAATCATCCCAGCCAGGGCTTTGTCAAGCCTGACCTTAAAAACTTCTAAGGAAGGAGATTCTACCACCTCCCTAGGTAACGCATTCCAGTGTTTCACCACCCTCCTAGTGAAAAAGTTTTTCCTAATATCCAACCTAAACCTCCCCCACTGCAACTTGAGACCATTACTCCTTGTCCTGTCCTCTTCTACCACTGAGAATAGCATAGAACCATCCTCTCTGGAACCACCTCTCAGGTAGTTGAAAGCAGCTATCAAATCCCCCCTCATTCTTCTCTTCTGCAGACTAAACAATCCCAGTTCCCTCAGCCTCTCCTCATAACTCATGTGTTCCAGACCCCTAATCATTTTTGTTGCCCTTCGCTGGACTCTTTCCAATTTATCCACATCCTTCTTGTAGTGTGGGGCCCAAAACTGGACACAGTACTCCAGATGAGGCCTCACCAATGTCGAATAGAGGGGGATGATCACGTCCCTCGATCTGCTCGCTATGCCCCTACTTATACATCCCAAAATGCCATTGGCCTTCTTGGCAACAAGGGCATACTGATGACTCATATCCAGCTTCTCGTCCACTGTCACCCCTAGGTCCTTTTCCGCAGAACTGCTGCCTAGCCATTCGGTCCCTAGTCTGTAGCTGTGCATTGGGTTCTTCCGTCCTAAGTGCAGGACCCTGCACTTATCCTTATTGAACCTCATCAGATTTCTTTTGGCCCAATCCTCCAATTTGTCTAGGTTCCTCTGTATCCTATCCCTGCCCTCCAGCGTATCTACCACTCCTCCCAGTTTAGTATCATCCGCAATGTCCCTAGCTGGGATTTGTTAACCTTTAGATTTACAGCTTTCCCTAGAGTAGTGGTTCTCAACCTTTCCAGGCTACAATACCCCTTTCAGGAGGCTGATTTGTCTTGCATACCCCAAGTTTCACCTCACTTAAAAACTACTTGCTTACAGAATCAGACATAAAAATTCAGAAATGTCACTGCCACGCTATTACTGGAAAATTGTTACCTTCTCATTTTTACCATATAATTATAAAATATATCGATTGAGATATAAATATTGTACTTACATTTCAGAGTGACACGTGAGCCTGTTTTTCACTTGTGAAGCCAAAGCTCGAGGCCTGCTGCCCATAATTTAGCTTTGCAAGGCCCCCATGGCAAGGGGCCCTGGGCAGTTGCCCTGCTTGCTATCCCCAAACACCAGCTCTGTGTACGTTTCTGTGATTTTATTTATTGCCTGCATCCCGTCCATGACTTTTAATAAAAATACTCATACCAAAATCATAGCCTTATATAGAGAGCAGTATAAACAAGTCAGTGTGCATATGAAATTTTAGATTGTACTGACATCACAAGTGCTTTTAATATAGCCTGCTGTAAAACTAGGCAAATATCTAGATGAACTGATGTACCCCAGGGAAGACCTCTGCGTTCTCCAGGGTATGAGTACCCCTAACTGAGAACCTAGAGAGGCTAATTCTGCTATCTTTACTCAGAGTGAGCAGTAATTTAGACCTGTGTATTCAGGATGGGGGGTTGCCCCTATTTAGTTACTCTCAGTGTAGATGTTCTGCACCAGTGCAAGCCATGTTTTGCACCAAGGCAGTGTGGCCGCATTAGCGGTTTTTGCTCGTATAGCTACATAGACATAATTACATTAGTGCAAATTTCCCTCCTCTATACAAGCTTTTAGCAGTCTCATGGAAATAAATCAGTTTACATAGGGAGTAATGTACTACTAAATGTTAGAGTGGCAGTTATTTTTTTACAAGAGCCAGACAATTGTTTTGCTGGTTAAAAAAAGTTTTCAAGTTGGACTGCTTAGCCTTTTTCTGCAAGTCCCCTATCCTGCAGGCTGCCAAGTCAATGGGAATGGCACTCAGCACCTCACAAGATCAGGCCCTTAATTACTTTAGAGTAAACAAACGTTCTATCCCTAGTCAATGAGCTTTTGGAGTTTGTGCATTTATTCCCTCACAAGATTGAAGTAAGCAGGACATATCATTAAGCCCAGTAATACGTTAGTAGCTTTCAAAATGACATTTCCATTTCATTAAGGCTGGGGGGATCTGCTATTTCTCTGTCATATGGAACATGTAAAAATAAAGCAATAAATAGACAGCAAAAAATAAAGTAACTAGAGCCTTTCAACTAGCCATTGCTTATTTTCTCTTCAGAATTCTGCTTAAGCACAATTTGTATGAACGTCCATTACAATGTCACATTAGTGTATATATACTGATTGGCTTAACTGTCTGTTTTGAGTTTTCTCTAACACCATATTTAATGATGGTTTACAATGAAAATATTTACAGGTGTATCGATACATTTACAAATTTTGTCTATGGCAGCCAAAGACAAAAACCAAAAACCAAATACTTCTTCTGGTATTTATGCCAACAATTACCCTTTCAAAATCCTGAGGAAAAGTTATCAATTATCACTCTACGTGGATCCTGTCAGGATCATTAGGCTCCAAATTTGACACATCTTTATTTGTATTTGTTACATTTGTTTGAAAACAAAAACCAATATCATTCTCTCTGGATAGTAATCCCTCCCTCTTCTAAACAAATTATTCAGTGCTTAAAAAATCCTAATACAAAGCCAGAAGCTCACTGCTTGTGAGCACCCCTATAACAACAGACCAGTGTGTGTGTGTGTGTGGACAATGGGAAAAAATTTGAAATGAAAATCTATTTCAGTTTCAAACTTCCATAAGCAACAAGGGCCACTGTAAACAGAATATAAACAGGTTTCAGAGTAGCAGCCGTGTTAGTCTGTATTCGCAAAAAGAAAAGGAGGACTTGTGGCACCTTAGAGACTAACACATTTTTTTTGAGCATAAGCTTTCGTGAGCTACAGCTCATGCATCCGATGAAGTGAGCTGTAGCTCATGAAAGCTTATGCTCAAATAAATTGGTTAGTCTCTAAGGTGCCACAAGTCCTTTTTTTTTTTGAGAATATAAACAGTGAGTTTTAAAAAAGTATAAAAAATATCTCAACAGAGCCCTTTTAAAAAGGGGATGCTGTCAGTTTAAGATTGTATAGATTGCCTTACTTGTGTTACTAATAACAATGCCTCAGATCAGCAGTTCTGTGACATTTTCATTCCATGGCCCACTTTATAAAAGAACTGTTCTTTCATGGGTCCTCCCTGCCACAATTCGCACCCACAATCTCCCACTGATTGATTTTCAAATGGTTCATTTGGTGAGATTCCATGAAAAAAGGCACCCCAATCCTGCAAATTGATGCATATGGGCATATCCCTGTAACTGTGCAGAGCCTCCTAACTTCAGTAAGATTACTCATGTGCTTAAAGTTAAACATGGGCATAAGTGTTTGGAAAACTGGGGTTCAAGTGCCATACATTAACCATAAATCTGAGGGCTGCCATCTTGGCTTATTAACAATCTAAGGTTTTTTTTTTTGGTTATTTATGATTGTTTTCTTGTCAGTGTCATTCTTGCTTCTCATCCAGTTCTCCTTCTGGTTCTCATACACTACCATGCTGCCACAGGGTTTGTATAGGAAACAACCAAATGGAAAGTTTAAATCCAGGAAAGCATTCCTATAGTTGTACAAAACCTAGACCAAATAGTTTCAAACCTGGGTGCCTAAAATTAGGCTCCAGAGTCCATATTTAGACACCTAAATACAAATAATTTGACATTCAGATTCATTAAACATCTGCAGCTCCCATTGACGAAAACAGAATTAGCAGGTGCTCTAGATGAATCAGGCCACATTTATTTGTGTGTTTAGATATGGATTTTGAAGCCTAATTTAGGCCGTCAAGTTTGACGTTTTTGGCCCTACTATTTAATAAAAATCTTAATTTTGGGCCTAAACTACATGACAGTGTCCTTTTAAAGTAAGGACTTTCCCTATAACTGTTCTCTTATGATTCTGAAAAGTGTAGGATGCTTTTCATATATTACAGTTTCTGAAGGTCATTGTGGACGCATTTTAAGACACAATGATAAGACAACACATGGAATTACTTGGCAGTATTTAGCTGGTACAGTTTCATGTGGAAACAGTATAATACCAAACACACTACACTGAATGCTTACGGATTATAACAGGCAAAATTCCCAAGACACCAGGAATTAAAAAGCAGAGTTCAATAAGAGATCAGAAAAGATGAACCAAGCCATGCCAAGCCTTCCCCTCGTTGCCTTTTCAAGTGCAGAAATAAACTAGGAAGGAAAGAAGGAAAAAGAAAACAACAGATGTTATCATATAGTTAATATTGGACTTCAGTCAGAGAGCATATCCAGTCAGAAAACAGGCAAGCACATTAGCACAACCCTGCCTAAGGAGCACACTGTGGTGTTATTACAATAACAACTTGTATTTTGGTATCGCAGTGTCTGGGAATGGGCAGCTCTGGAAAGGGTGGTGGTCTGAGCTGCAGGATAAATGTGCTGGGTTAATCATCAAAGGTATGATCCTGTCCTCATAAAAATCAAGGGCAGAACTCCAATTGATTTCAATCATAGCCTGATAAAGCTCTCACTACACAGCAACATTTAGCCCAGCGAAATGGATGTGACTGCACCAGACACTGTGTTTTAAGCACCAGAAAAGTCACTTAGGTCCCTATTCAGGACAACACTTTAGAACACACTTAACTTTAAATCAGTGCTTAAATCCCATGGACTTCAATGGGATTTAAGTAGATGCTTAAGTGCTGTGCTGAAAGGGATGCTGTCTTGAATCAGGGCCTAATTTCTCTGCCTCTCAGTACTCAATCTGTGAAATGGGGATAATATTTTCCTTTCTCCCACCCCTCATCTGATTTGTCTATTTAGATCAGTGGTTCTCAACTCTGGTCCACCGCTTGTTCAGGGAAAGCCCCTGGTGTGCAGGTTTGGCCGATCGCAGCTCCCACTGGCCGCGGTTCACTGCTCCAGGCCAATGGGGGCTGCAGAAAGCAGCACAGGCCGAGGGATGTGCTGGCAGCCCTTCTCGCAGCCCCCATTGGTCTGGAGCAGTGAACCACGGCCAGTGGGAGCCAGAATCGGCCGAACCTGAGGATGCGGCAGGTAAACAAACCGGCCCGGCCTGCCAGGAGCTTTCCCTGAACAAACGGTGGACCAGAGTTGAGAACCACTGATTTAGATTGTTATCTCTTTGGGGCTTGGACTCTCACTATGTGTATGTACAGTGCCTAGCACAGTGGGGTCCTAAAGTAAGTTGGGACTTCTAAGCGGTACCAGAATGGAAACAACAACAACCTGGAGTGCAAAGAAGTATTTATGAAAAAATATATGACCCTGAGCTTTAAAGCATTGATTCTCTCAAGTATTCCACTAGGACTAACAATTATATAAACAACCTCAAATCATAGCCTATGTCTACACTACAAGCTAGGGGTGTGATTCCCATGCTCGCGTACATATACTTGTGTTAGCTCTCGCTGAGCTAGTGTGAGTATAAATAGCAATGTAGTTGAGGTTGCAGAGACATGGCTTAAGTGTGTCGAGTACAAACCCACTGAAACCAGTGGGCACGTACATGGCATGGCTAAGCCTCCACTACCTGTGCTACCATTTCCATTCTTGTAGCTTCAGAATTATGAAACCCAAAATCATTCTGGGTCACATTGGTGCCAGCTTTTATATAACTCACACGTTTCATCATGCACCTAACTCATGTTTACTGATCATTTGTAAGTATAACAGAAGCAAACATACACAGACTGAAGGTGAAGTAGGTAATCTGAGAAGAAGGTATTAGTACATGCCTATAACACAATTTGCTGTTAAATCTCTTTTAGATTACTGGCAGTATTGTCTGACTGAACAAACGCCCAGTTTTAATATCTAATGCCATATTAAAGTTACATAAAAGAAACAACTTCATTCATAACAGCTGTTGCTAACACATAGAGTTATATATATATATATATATATATAATATATATATATAATAACAGGACTCTGTGTTCAGATTTCATACACAGATAGAGACATTAGGGTTAATATAAATTAATATATTATATTAAATATATATATTAAAAAAGAAAAGACTTTGCAATCCTTCCTTTCTGATACTAATGTCTCTATCTATGTATGAAATCTGAACGCAGAGTCCTGTCATTATGATATCCCTGCTTTGCCGCCTATACGATTGTGACCCATTGTTCATATTCTATTTCCAGGTATTATATAGATATGCAGAATACAAGACACTCCTTGTGTCACTGAGAACTCAAGGCAGCTTTGGGACAGGTTTTAGATATCTAAAGATGCAGATAGTGACCTCATGAGATTTTCAAAAGCACCTACATGCTTAACTGCCATTGACTGGCACTTTTGAAAAATCACATTAAGCAACCCTATGTAACTTAAAATTTGGCCTGCTGTCCAGATTCTATAACAGTGAGCTAATTTACACGACTGAGTCTTCTCCCACTAAGGTAAATAGGATTTGTGTCATGGATTTTAATGAGAGTAGGGCTGAAGCTCTTTGAGATTGCATAAAAGTTTACCTAATCCTGAAATGGTGATATTTAAACTGGGAGAAACTATGTAGTATAACAGAGTGGGTGCCATTAAAACTTGGATGTTTCCAACCCACAGTCAATTAATGTTCAGTGAAATTCATAGTATATTTCCTTATAACAACAGGACACTTGAAGGGAATATTCAGAGTCAGACTATCTTCCTAAATGTTTTATTTCCTTCGCATGAGGACATTGGAAATCACAGAGCTATTTATATTGTACATAAAAAATAAATTACTTACTTATAATTACAATAAGAATGACTGCACATACTACACCAAGGATGATCATCATCTATAAAGAGAGTTAAAGAAAGAAAAATGAGGTCTTTGCATTATAAAAGGTCGCTCCTGGTTTTATCTTTAGGTGGGCTGTTCACTCTGTCCCAGTGTTCTTAATCATTGCACAGACACCCTGTAATCAATTTTTATAGGTCCCTAATGTAGCATTTCCTAGAACCGAGCCAATCTGAGATAGAGCATCTATTAAGATACAGTCTAACACGTTTGAAGCTGTGTTCGCTGGCTGTGTTGTAGCTGTGTTGTATAACGTGGCCAGCTAATATGGCTTCAGATGTATTCACCAGTATCTCAACAGGGCTTTTAATCATGGTAAGATAACCTGATTAGCTAACGTGATTGAAAAGCACACACTTTGTGAGAGTCAAGATGGGCCCTAATGTGTGACAGGAAGGAAGAGCCAACAATTGGTACTGGCCACTTCTCCTCTCCTTCTACTCCTCCTCTGGTTCCTGAAGCCTGGAAGCTTTCTTTACTTACTTTCTTTTCAGGGGAAGCAGGGAGGACCTGGGGGGTCAGGGTAGGGGGTCAGGTTCCAGCCCTGGAGACAGCTGGTCTTACTTGAGAAGGAGGTGAATTGCCAGTAGCACCACAGGTTTCTAGGGGAGACAGAAATGAAGCCAGGCAACTGGGTTGGGATTTGCACCAGGGAGGCATATGGATGGGTGTTTGGCATGGGGACAGGGAGAAGGAGGGTTGAGGCAGGGGGCTGGAAATGATGATACTGGAGTGGAGAAGTAGGTGGTTTCAGGATGGGAAGGAAGAGGAGTCTTCCTTGTTCCAGGGAGAGGATGAGTCTGTTGAGGGGTAGGGGCAAGATTTTGGTGAATTCAATCTTTGCTTAGCCTTAATCTGGCCCTGCTGAAGAGATTCTCTTCTGCCTTCATTTCCCATGGTGGCCTGAGGAGGCCCTGGGTCATCGTTGTCTTCTACCTCCAGAAGCTTACCTCCATGAAGGAGAAAGAGGTTCATCAACCCCCACAAGGAGAGAAAGGCTTTTCCACCCCACTCTTCATATATGCTATGCTGATACTGGCTTTGTGCATGTTTTCAAGTGTATTTTTATTATGTTGGGGCTGAGGTTTTTGCATGTGTATCAATTTCTTCAGTTTTCGTGTCACATGTTCTCACACTTAGATTTTTAAATTAAAAATTTTTCCCCAAAGAAACAGTTGGGTTTGAATTATGTGAGATGAGGGTGGGGTGGGAAATTCTTGCAAAAAAAAAAATCTAAAAACTTTTATGATACCCCCAACTTTTACAAAACATTCTAGAGAGTCTGTGAAATCCAAAAGTTGGCTGGAGTTTACATAGTAACTATTGAACTTAACAAGAGCTTTGAAAGGGATATAATTGCTCAAGCTTCAGTATAGAAGCGAACTTCTAATTATTTGGGGGAAGTTAGAAAGAAACTTCCCCTTGGGAAAGCTAATTCCACAGCTGCCTATTGCAGGGTTTCTCGTACCTTCTTCCAAAGCTGCCAGTGCTCGCCAGTTTCAGAGGCAGGATACTGGGCTAGATGGATCACTGGATTGATTCTGTATTGTAATACCTATGTTCTCTCATTCTTGTCTCTAGAAATTGGCTGAAGCCTCATAATTATGATTCAAATTTCAGATAGCACAAAGATAGTGTAGGTTAAGTCTATCTCTATTCAAAGTCACTATAGCTTACAAAGACTATCCTACTGGTTTAAAGAGTAACATATCTTACCTTTCAGCATTCAGAAAAAGGGTCATTTAAATCCAACCTACTGTTACAAGGGCTCATTAAAGCAAAGTGAAAGTAAACAATTAACATTTAACAGATTTAACAAGAAATACCTATCGTCTTTACCTTGCAGTTTTTCCACCAGTATTTTCTCTTCAATTTAGCTGCACTAGTTTCAAACTGTGAGGCACCAGCTTGTAATGCATCTGCCCGGTTGTCAAGCTCTGAAAGCTTTTGGTCTCTTTCTAGAACCTTGTCTACATTCACTCGCATGATGTCCACCACCTGAAAAGATAACCCTCAGTTAGCAGACTCCATACATGGAAAGGCTGTATTCATAGGACTGAAATCTCATGGCAAATGGGAAAGGTCCCTTTGCTATCAAGGTAAAAATTATGGCTTGCTATTATATAGACAATTCCTCTATAACAGGGCTACTCAAACTTATCCTGGGAGCCCTAGGTAGATAGTAAGGTGCACATAATCATGCTGAGCTCAAGTGTCCTTACAGACTATAAAATACTAAGACATTAAAATGTACTCTAGTTATTTCCATGAAGTTTTTTGAGGAAGATGCACGCACTGGTGCTTTAACCCAGTTAGCAAAGCAGCTATTGTTACAGGAAACTGGCTGACATACCTATCACGGGGCAGTCACCAACACATTTGCATTACATGCTAGCTCATAGTGCTGGTTAGGAACACAAGCCCAAAGGTATTATTTTCACTGCTGATGACTTAACAACATAGTTGCCCTATCATAACTATAGAAGTAGGCTTGATAAGAGTTTCTAATAGGAGCTACCACAACCTCCTTCGCAGACAAGGTGATCTTCCTTCTTCAGATTGTAGTCTGAAATCCTGTTTGGTATTGCAGGTGGGGAGAACATTTTGGATAGAAAAACTCTAGTCTTTGTTAATTTCACCATGAAGACCAGTATGGGCCTGATGCCCAAAAGAGCATAGATTGGAAGAGACACACAGTAGGTACTGGGAAAGGCATAGTAATTCAGTTATTTTATACATATTGAAATATATTTACATTGATTGGGCATTTTTAGCCAATTAATGCTTAAAAATAGAAATCCTGATCCAACTTCATCAACGTCTTACATAGGCACAGTTTCTGTTTAAGTCAATAAAGTTGTGCCCACGTATGGCAGCAGTAAATGTGAGACTGGCCTGCAATTCCTTATAAATTATTAATGCTGCAGACTATGTCAATTGTACTTAATCTAATTCAATCTGTTCAGAATAATAATAATTAGCAGTAAAAATCAAGAGTCAAACACACACTTTGGACACAGTAAAAACAGTGAAACCCTACATACTAAGGCACTCTAAGGTGCCACAAGTACTCCTTTTCTTCTTCCTACATACTGGCTTAGTTATAAGATGCATCTTGTATTTATGTACAAGAGAAAACAAAAGATAGTGGGTCCCATCCTGCTCTCATTGAAGTCAAACGCAAAACTCCCATTATCTTCCAGTGGGAGCAGAATTAGGTTCTCAGTATGAAATCCTGGCCTCACTGAAGTCAGTGTGAGATTTCACGTCTACTCGCAAGTAAAGTTTTGTTCCTGTCCTTGTGAAATGAAATGGCACTGTAGTAAAACCATAGCTTCTCTGCTGGATTTCCATAGTGCAAGTATATGGTGCCACCTAAAGGATAGTCTCAGAGTAGCAGCCATGTTAGTCTGTATCCATAAAAAGAAAAGGAGGACTTGTGGCACCTTAGAGACTAACAAATTTATTTGAGCATAAGCTTTTGTGAGCTACAGCTCACTTCATCGGATGCTTTACCACAAGACACATTGAAACAAAAACATTTCCTAGGAAAAGACTGCAGTAAGAGGGCAAGATAAAAGTAAAGCATAATGAGTCAGATCCTCAGCTGTGGAAATCAACACAGTTCCATTAAATTCAAGGGATCTGGCTTGATACATATATCCTATCTTGAAAATCTCAGTAGAGTTTTGCCTCCTTGATTCTAGTCAGCCTGTGATTTATCAGTTGGCTGAGCTCCCCCACCACATAAAACATGAATTCTGCCTGCTCCCTTAAATGTCTTCTCTGGACTACCAACCTACAGCAACTTCTATCCCAAGTCTGAACTAGCCATGGAAGTGAATCTGGACATTTCAAGTGCACCCTGGGATTGATGGTCACCTGCTGTCCACTTACCAGACTCACCAGGTAGTGACTTCCCTGACAATTAGCCTGATTCTCTCTCTCCATTCAAACTCCTCTTCACTACGAAGCTGACTCCAGTAGGCCTGAGTTAAACATATCAGAACTAAAGTGTGTCTCAGGCCACAAAGTTCAGAACCAGGTCTTCAGAATTTTGGAGAGTTCTAGGCTTTTGGTTTGGCCAGTCTATTATTGGAAGCCATTTCCATTCTCCTGCTTGAAGAACCCCATTCATGTGTTTGAAGTAGCTCCTTTTAAGCAATAAACTAATCATATTTCACTTCCCAAGTAGGGTCATTTGCTTTGATTCTGAGCAATGTAAATGCTCACAGCACCCTTATGATGCAGTCTATTTAGGTAGAGAAGTTTATTTTATGATTCTAACTGAGGCAGGGTCCTACCAAAGGCTGGGACACAGTGGTCCTGATTCTCTTCTCACTTTCCACAGTGAGAATAAGAAGTCACTCCATTAAGGTAAATATAATTACACTGTTGTAAAACCAGTGGGAGAGAAGAATTGGGCCTAGGCTTTTCTGTAGCTGGACGCTATTCTGATCTGCCCCAAATATCAGCAAAGGAGCATCCAGGACATGAAGCCGAAGAAGGTTCTAAAGGAAGAAAACTCTGTCTAAAATATAACATTAATTGTATGTATAATGAGAAGCTCAGGTTGGATGATTTCTGTAAACTTCTTTCTTATACTTGTGAGGTGCATTTGGGGACAATCCCAACACCAGTTGAATGGATATTTTTTGGTGTTTGTACATCTGAATTGGCATTAAGGATCCACAGAGAGCAAGATAGAGTTCTCTACAACTAGTTGTTCCTAACTATGTGGTGTTCAGTTAGGTAATGGAGCATGGCCTAGGAAGTCTTCTACGTACTGTACTTAATACACACATCTAAAGTCTGCACTATATAACTGGCCATCGTGCAAGTCAGCAGCTTATCCATGATCAAACCCCAAGATTAGCTCGATGGGTTGCACCCAGGATTAGCTTCACTAGTTCAGTGAATATGGTGGTAAATGAATGCTGGCATGATGAGTGAAACTGAGTGAGAATTTTCTGTAATATTTTGTACGAATCATGGGAAAAGGTTATTTACTCTTGGGAAGCTATGACAAAGCTGTCAATGGCCCCTAGGTGTCTTGAGTTTGGCCCATATCATTGGGGAATCCATGAAGACAATGGCAAAGCCAAACTTTGGGACATTTGCTACCTAGCAACTAATGACCATGGATGGTCCACTCCCCCTTCCCCCCTCCCTCCTCTGTAGGAAGCCAGCTGTGTTTAACCAACTGGAGAACAAAGGACTGAAGAGGGGCCAGGTAGGATTGGCCTGGTTAACTTGAACAAGAGGGTACAGACTCAGAGCAGAAGCCAATGGGGACATACCACTTTAAGGAGAACGGTCCACTCTGATTAGCCCAGAGCCACTTTCTTTTCTCTATGCTAACCAAGGGCTTTCTACGCTGGGTTCCTGTTGACTAATAAACCTTTCTGTTTTGACAACACTGCATGAAGGTCACTGAAGATGCTGTCGGAGATGCACTGCTCCTTAAGATTTACAAGTGTATCTCAGGAGTCCGCCTCAGTGGGACTCGCTGAAAGGGGTTCAAGGTGGGAAGCAGGACTGCTGAAGGCCCAGAGGTCGAGGCTTCGGAGGCAGTGAAGCCATGTGACTTACTCTTAAGGAACAGTGAGGCCCGTAGGAGGTCTGGCTCACTGAAGGAGTCCTCCCAGAGGCTGTTCCAAAGTGAGGGGTGATCCTGTGGATCCATGACGAGGAGTAAGATTGTTAAGGGGAATTATCCCAATGAAGAGGGAATCCATGCTGGAACTAGGTCTCATATGGAACTATCATTCAAAAAGTAGCTGGCAACTTCTTGGAGCTGTTGCTCTGTGGACTTGCTCAACTGTTTGTCTTTCCCTGAATTTCATTTTTAATAGTAACCAAATAAATTAAATAAAGCCCTTATTGCTAACTACAGCCTGACCCTGGAAACTAATCCAGGCTTTCAGACACAGGGTCCTTCCCATAAGGAATAGCTTGCAGGGGCAGGGCCTATGTCTTTATAATCCCAGAAAGGATTTATATTTATATTGGGTATTTGCAAACAATGACAGAGGTAACATCTAAGTCATACTTGTTTTGTGAGCAGAGTTGTTAGGGGTATAAAGATTATGAATGAGCTCTTCTGCAATCTGCCTATTAAAAACCTTATCTCACATAAATCTCATTCCATAGACCCCCTGACTTCAATTGAATAAAGGCGACAGGATCTTTAACTGGGCAAACAGTCATTTAATCATCTTAAAAAATAAAATCTCATCAGTGCCCCGTTGTGTGCAGCTCACCTCATCGACCTGAGCTTGTGTCTGTTGCAGTCTTCTATTACTGGTCACATTGGTGGGGGGTGGAGGCCCTCCTGCCCCGGAAATTGTGGAACCTCCGGCACCTTGGGTGGGAACTGGGGCTGACCTAAACCAGAAGCAAAGAAAATAATTGAACATGCATTGAATTTCATTCATTCGCACCTTCACTTTGCTACCAGTCCAAGATGTGGATACGCACAGATAAAAAGCAGAGTTTTCTAGCCTTCCATTGATTGTCAGTTAGTGCAGGTGTCCAAAGTTAGGCACTTAACTCTGTACTTAGGCACCAGGTGCCTGACTTTGGGGAACCAAGTTTGAAAACTGTGCCCTTCCGGGTTAGTTCTGATTTTCCCCTCATTTTCCCCATTAAACAGTTCTGATTCAGGCATATCTACTGGAGTCAACAGGAATCCTGTGTGCCTTGGATAGGCCCTTCGATTAGCTATCAATCATCTTTCTTCCCTGGCTGAGCAGTGGAAGTCAGGGAGGAGGAAATACTGCTCAGAGTATCCATGGAACAATGCATAATGGGCATCTTACCAAGCACTCCAGTTAGATTCTGTGCAATTCATTTCCATGTTTTCATTAGCTATAGTGTGCCCTGCTTGCAATGCAAGATACAGTCTAGCAAAGATCCTCTGAGGGGTTAGGCAGAAACACTAAAATTTTAGAAAACTCTCCCCTGGCAACGAGGCTAAGTCCATTTGTCTGTCAACTGCAGAACTAGGCATCAAACAAACCACAGCAACAGTTCTGAACATGTGCTCCAGCAAGTATGTGTAGGTAAGGCCTAACTTCCTTACAATGGCTTAAAAAAAAGACTTGAAGCTGGTCTCTAAGGGCATGTCTACACTACAAAATTAGGTCGATTTTATAGAAGCTGATCTTTAGTAACCGATTTTATACAGGCCCTGTTAGTCTGTATTCGCAAAAAGAAAAGGAGTACTTGTGGCACCTTAGAGACTAACCAATTTATTTGAACATAAGCTTTCGAGCCGATGAAGTGAGCTGTAGCTCACGAAAGCTTATGCTCAAATAAATTTGTTAGTCTCTAAGGTGCCACAAGTACTCCTTTTCTTTTTGCAATTTTATATAGTCAATTGTGCATGTACCCACTAAGTGCATTAAGTCGGCAGAGTGCGTCCTCAATACCATGGCTAGCAATGAGTCACAGAATGGTGTACTGTGTGTAGCTATCCCACAGTCCCTGCTGCCCATTGGAATTTTGGGTTAAGCTCCCAATGCCTGATGGGGCAAAAACACTGTCGCGGGTGGTTTTGAGTACGTCATCAGTCTTCCCACCCTCCCTCCCTGAAATCAATGGCAAACAGTTGTTTCACACCTTTTATGCAGATGCCATAGCATGGCAAGCATGGAGCCTGATCAGCTGCGCACTGCTTTTGTGAGCATTGTAAACACCTCACCCATTATCCTGCAGTATGTGCAGAGCCTGGCTAGGAGCCACCAGCACAAGGATGATTGTGAGGAGGACATGGACACAGACGTTCCTGAAAGCACGGGATGTGGCAATTGGGATATCATGTCGGCATTGGGTCAGGTTGATACAGTGGAACGCCAATTCTGGGCCCGGCAAACAAGCACAGACTGGTGGAACGGCATAGTGTTGCAGGTATGGGATGATTCCTAGTGGCTGCAAAACTTTTGCATGCATAAGGCCACTTTCCTGGAACTTTGTGAGTTGCTTTGCCCCACCCTGAAGCACAGGAATACCAAGATGAGACCTGCCCTAAGAGTTGAGAAACGAGTGGCAATAGCCCTGTGAAAGCTTGCAACGCCTGACTGCTATCGGTCAGTGGGGAATCAATTCGGAGTGGGCAAATCTACCGTGGGGGCTGCTGTGATCCAAGTAGCCAAGGCAATCAATACCTTTCTACAAACAAGGGTAGTGACTCTGGGAAATGTGTAGGTCATAGTGGATGGCTTTGCTGCAATGGGGTTCCCTAATTGTGGTGGAGCAACAGATGGAACGCATATTCCTATCTTGGCACAGGACTACCTTGCCAGACAGTACATAAACTGCAAGGGGTACTTCTCAATGGTGCTGCAAGCACTGGTGGATCACAAGGGCATTTCACTGACATCAAAGTGGGATGGTTGGGAAAGGTGCATGACATTCGCATCTTTCGGAACTCCGGGCTGTTCGAAAAGCTGCAAGAAGGGACTTTCTTCCCAGACCAGAAAATTACCATTGGGGATGTTGAAATGCCAATAATTATCCTTGGGGACCCAGCCTACCTCTTGCTCCCATGGCTCATGAAGCCATACACAGGCAGCCTGGACAACAGTAAGGAGCAGTTCAACTATAGGCTGAGCAAGTGCAGAATGGTGGTAGAACATGCCTTTGGACATTTAAAAGGGTGCTGGCGTGGTTTGCTGAGTAGGTTAGACCTCAGCACAACTTATATTCCCATTGTTATTGCTCCTTGCTATGTGCTCCATAATATCTGAGAGAGTAAGTGGGAGGTTGAGGCAAATCGCCTGGCAGCCAATTATGAACAGCCAGACACCAGGGCAATTAGAAAAGCACAGCTAGGCGTGCTGCACATCAGAGAGGCTTTGAAAAACAGTTTCATGACCCACCAGGCTACGGTGTGACAGTTCTGTGTGTTTGTCCTTGATGCAAAGCCACCCCCTTTGGTGAATGTACTTCCTTGTAAGCCAATCCCACTTCCCCCCGCCCTGCTCTTTGACCACAGCTGGCAAAAGAAATAAAGTCCCAATTGTTTTGAATCCATCCATTCATTCATTCTTTATTTATTAAAAAAAAATTGATATCACTGACAATGCTGATGAGTAAAAGGTAGCCCGGGTGGGGTGGGGGAGGAGGGAAGGACAAGGCCACATTGCTTATTGTAGCCACACTACAAATCAAAGCTGTTGGAATGACAGCCTTCTATTGCTTGGGCCATCCACTGAAGTTGAGTGGCTGGGTGCCTGGAGCCTCCTGCCCCACGTTCTTGGGCTTCTGGGTGAGGTGGAACTTGGCGAGGAGGGCAGGCTGTTACACAATGGATGCAGTGGGGCTCCGTACTCTAGTTGCCTTTCCTGGAGCTCTACCAGACACCTCATCATGTCTGTTTGCTCCCCCATTAGCCTCAGCATCTCCTCCTGCATGTTCTGATCACACTCACTGTATGCTTTCCTGGTCTCTGCCACTGAATGCCTCCATGCATTCAGCTGTGCCCTATCAGTGCGGGAGGACTGCATGAACTCCAAAAACATGTCATCGCAACTGCGTTTTTTTTTGCCTTCTAATGTGCGATAACCTCAGGGACGGAGTTGATACAGGGAGCATAGAAACATTTGCAGCTGCAAGGGGGAAAAAAGGGAGAGTAGAATTTAAGAAGATACGTTTCTGAGAACAAAAGGGAGACCGTTTCACAGTGAATTAAGCAATTCACAGCAGACAGCACATGTGTTTTAGGTACAAGGTCACATTTTGCCTTTTATATTGAGCACCTGCCAGTATGGTGACACATCACACATGGCTGGGCAACAGAATTCGGTTTCCAGGCAGCCATGGTAAGCCAAAGGGTATGCGGGATTGGCTCTTCCGCGTTCATAACATGTGGGAATGGTTTCAAACTGCAGCACTCGCCTTTCCCATAGCAACCAATGCCGGTTGGTTTTGCCATTTAAAAGGAGGGCCTGCAGTTGCCATTTAAAAGGAGGGGCTGCAGGTTTTGGGGTGGATGTGCAGCACATCCCTCCTCGCCCCTGCGTGGCTATTCTCCGGGATGATCCTTTTTAGCCAAGCGCAAACAGCCGATCATGACCAGGGTCTAATGTGCCGGGGATCACCAAACAGAGGGGATTACTGTTCCCTTACAAAAATTCCCCTATTTCAACCAGGTGACCATGAATGATATCACTCTCCTGAGGCTAACACAGAGAGATATAGACTGAATGTTGCTTGAATGTGACCAAAACCCAGGACCATTCACTGCCATGCTTTGTGCTGCAGTGAATCCAGACTAGTTGCTACTGGCTTGGCATGGTAAAGTGTCCTACCATGGAGGACGAAATAAGGCAGCCCTTCCCAGAAACCTTCTGCAAAGGCTTTCAGAATACCTCCAGGAGAGCTTCATGGGGATGTCCCTGGCGGATTCCCACTCCATCCCTAGACACGTTAACAGACTTTTCCAGTAGCTGTACTGGCTGCGAATGCATTTCAATTGTTCAGGGCAAATCAAACATTAAACACAATTGCTTTTAATAACTGTAATGTAGTTACAAATGTGCACTCACCAGAGATGACTTCTCCGCCTTCAGGATCTGGGAACAATACGCCTTGGGAAGGTATTGGCTCCAGGGTGATGAAAAGGTCCTGGCTGCCAGGGAGAATGGATTCTCCACTTGCCTGCTGCGCATTCTCCTCCTCCTCCTCCTCCTCTTCCTCATCCACAAAATCCTCCTCTGTGTTGCGTGAGGCTTCCCCCTTGCAGGTGTTCATGGACAGTGGTGAGGTAGTGGTAGGGTTTCCCCCCTAGAATGCCATGCAGCTGATCATAGAAGCGGCATGTATGGGCCTCTGACCCAGAGTGAACATTTGCCTCCTTTGTCTTTTGGTAGGCTTGCCTGAGCTCCTTAATTTTCATGAGGCACTACTGTGTGTCCCTGGTGTAGTCTTGGTCCACCGTGCCCTGTGCGATTTTGGCATATATATCAGTATTTCTTCTGCTGGATTGGAGTTCTGCCTGAACAGATTCTTCTCCCCATACAGCAATCAAATCCAGTGTCTCCAGTTCACTCCATGCTGGAGCTCGCTTGCGATTCTGGGACTGCATGGTCACCTCTTCTGCTCAGCTTGCCACGCTGACCAAACAGGAAATGAAATTCAAAAGTTCCCGGGGCTTTTCCTGTGTACCTGGCTGGTGCATCGGAGTTGAAAGTGCTGTCCAGAGCAGTCACAGTGGAGCACTCTGGAATAGCTCCCAAGGGCCAATACCATCGATTTGCACAGAGCTGCATCTGCACTACCCCAAATTCGACCCAGGAAAGTCGGTTTTAGCTCTACTTCCCTCGTCGGGGAGGAGTACAGCAGTCAATATTAAGAGCCCTTTAGGTTGGTGGAACGGGGTTGGT